ATAGATAGATAGATAGATAGATAGATAGATAGATAGATAGATAGATATGATATGCATATGATATATGTATAATTCCAAACATCCGTTACCATGCTAGAGTTTCTACAATGTGCGTCACAGTGTTGAGCATAGTAATATGCACTGTGCAGTGCTGTTGTTGGTCTTTGCCATTTGTCATTGTCATTGCAAAAGAGTGGCAACTGCAGAATGTTCACTCTCAGAGAATATATGCTGATAATGAGGTGGACCAGCCCTGCTTCTCATTTCAGACCATGACATCATCAAAACCTTAACTCCCCTTGATGCCTATCTTGAACAGCAGCTGCAAGAAACAAAGCTCTCCTTTGCCAGCCAACTCAAAAATGCTACATTTTCATACTGCGTACGGAAAAAATATCATCCAAAAAAGGCAGAGTTTATCAATATTGGGTGGGGCCCTACCTTGTCGATGGAGTTCGATGCCTGTCTTCATCCTCTCATCTCCACATTGATCTTCAGCTTTCTCGCGGCATCTGCTTTTAGTTATTTGCACACGAGCACCGTGAAACAGGTGACAGAGCAAGATAACAGAGGCTCATGTGGCCTAATGGGTTGACTCTCTCTGGCTTTGGTCACTTGCCTGACAAACAGGGCCTGAGAGACTGTGATAATAAATCCATTGTGATATCCACACATAAGTATAACGTCATCACCACTGCGACGGGTGGGTCGAGTAAGGCGTCTTGTTAGTTGTTCGATCAGCTCAAAGAGTGATGTGGTGAGTAACAAGGTAAATCAGTCAATGATTTTTTTGAGGGAGGACAGCAGTTATAGAATCTTTGAACTTCTTCATTTGTAATGTTTCTACCTTCAGTGTGATGGACAGGGGGTGGGTCAGTGACCTTGAGTCTTCACTCTGGCTGGCACGAACACAGACTCCTTGACACAAAGGCTTTTTTGTTTAGAACAGAGTGGGCCTGTTGTGGGCAGGGAGGCTGCAGCTTACAGACACATGGGGGGATTTAACCCCTCACATTCAAGTGACTAAATGGCCCCTAATGCTTTGCTGGAGTTAGCTGAAGATAGCTAGATATCATAATAAAAAAAGCAAGAAAGCAAGAGTCCCATTTAATATGTTTATTGAAAATAAATAATAACAAAAGGCTCATTAACACAAACGTATGAGCTGTGCTGTCACACAGAAACAGTTTCACAGTACAATCTTGATCAATTTAAATACCAACGTAACAGTGCATAGTGAATTATGCCACACGTCAACTTAGAAAGTAAAGATTTGAGATAAAGTGCTCAATTCTCATCAAAATGGGTGCTGACTTGTATACCTATATTGAAAAGTGAAGCAAATGAGACTGCTCAAAATCACATTAACACCATATAATACCATCTATTTTATCTCTGTAGCATCCATAGTTTTCTTTGAACACTGTTTTATGTGGGATTTTGAAGAAGTAGAAGTAGCAATGAAGTTATGTCCTTGAAAAGATAGCAAGTTTCTAAAACAATTTGTGAGTAGATGGTGGGGAGAAAATTTTGGCAACAACCAATGCAAATAATCATGCCTGGCTAGATCTGCCTACATGGCCCCTCCTTTAATGTAGCTTTTGCAATGGCAGACATACAGATGGAATTTGGTTGGAGAGGTTAGGAGAACTGGAATATATAAACTATTGCCGCTCGAAAGCATAATCATGGCACAAAGTAACAGTGGGAAAGCTGGATGATGGCTGAGACCCCCAAGTATAGTGTATAAATACAGTACTTTTTATAAATAGAAAAAAAAGCAAAAAAATCTTTACATCGTAAAGCTTTTATATTAAAAAAGACAACAAAAACAAAGGTATGTGCAAATTAATGTGCATAAAGTGTTGAATTACCCTTAGGTCATTTTGATTCTGTACATGCGTATATAATTGTTAACTCACATGAGCCTCTGCCTCATCTCCCAGGCCCTCTCACTCATCCAGTCCTTAGCTCTGCCCACAGAGGAGCGCTCTGGTCCCAGCACCAAACAGAGCCTGGCCAATTTGAGTCGGTTTCTCTCCAGGTAGCTCTGCGTGTCCCTCTGCAGCTGGTTCAGGGCCCCCGGCCGGTTCTCGTCCAGGGACACCTCTGCGCTCAGCATGGGGTTGAAGCGGAAGTAGACGTCTGGGGCCATGAGTTCATCCAGCAGGGTATGGACCCCCTCTGTGTCTGTGGCACTGCAGATCAGGTTGCTGATTTTGGCCCTCAGGCTTGTGGAGGTGACAGGTCCTCTCTTAGCGTTGTCATAGCGACCGGTGCCCAGGGAGAGAACGCATTGGAAGGGCTGATTGGGCCACAGCAAACGACTCTCGTGGACAGCTAAAGCGCAGGGATTGTTCAGGATTATCCCCCCATCCTATGGTGACAGTGCGAGAAGAGAATAAAAAAACTCAGATTTCCAATAAACTTTGCCACAGACAAAAAAAATTAGTATTTTCATCTTATTTTTTCAGATGTTTGGTATCAATTATGTGTATAGTCATTATAATCAAACTCAGGCATTTTTAAAGAGATCATTTTCTTTGAAACTGACAGTTAAACAATAAGACAAAACTTCGATAAAGTTCAGTAACTTTTCTTCTGCTGCTTTAGCGCAAAATGCCATAAAAACTCAGTGACCATAAAAGCTTTAAACAATAGAATATTTAAAAAGAAGGTTCAGCTTCGGTTGTAGAAATGTGATTTGGGACTTTGTTTTCCAACCTGATGAATGTCACTCTGTATGGGGAACTCCTGGAAGTATCCGGGAGCGGCTGACGACGCCCGCACTGCCTGCCACATCTGGTAGCCTGAGCTCCCTGCATAGCGGCTGAGAGAGCCGGGTTTGTGGTTATAGTTACGAAACACAAACGCCTTTGGACTGGTACCCCAATTCACCACTGCACTGACAGCTGAAACCTGAGGAAAATGCCAAGAATTACTTCCTTTGAACCTGTGGCGCTTGATAACTGTAGTTATGGGCTACCTTCTTTTTACAGAGCTGATTGTGATAAGGACAAGAATGAATTTCTTTGAAAAAATGTAGTACCCTTACCTTAGGACTCAGTTCGTCTCTGGCTGTTTTTATAAGTATCTTACTGCCCAGCTTCTCCCTGTATAGGAGAGAAACAGTAAATCCATTCAGAGTAGACTTTATCCCTGCTTGAATAACATGATGAAATAAACTATTTCACTTAAGCAAATGTTTAAAGTTGGAATCTTTTCTGTTCGTACTGTAAAATTCTCTCCCAGGTTTCAGTGTTGTAATAAGAGTGACTCCAGCCCATCTTCACTGTTCCAACCAGTGGGTTTTGCTGGAAGACTTCCGAGCCAAACCGGCGATACATGTCAGCACACTCGTCAAGAGAATAATGGGCCAGACCCAACATAGAGGCAAGGACGGCTCCTAGGAGATAGAAATAGAAACAAATAAACAGGAGATAAGTACAAAACATTTTGACTAAAACTTATTAATATGTGAGGCTCAGCTTGCTCTCACCTGTGCTCACGCCACAGATATAATCAAACAGCTGGTGAATCTTCTTCCCAGTCTCATTTTCTAGCAGCTTCAAGACCTGCAGAGGCACCACACCTCTGGAAATTGAAAAGATGGAAAAATCCAAGTTTTAAAGATTCCCCCAGCAGTCCGAGACCATGCCTGTTCGGAAAGTGGACACTCTAAATTGCACGTCGGAGTGATAGTCACGGTGTGACTATCACACAGCTGGGATAGCCTCTAAGCTCCTTTCTCTGACTAAGCAGGTGGATGCATGGGTGGAGATATATACATTGTACAGATATATATTTGACAAAATTGCCTGTGGAACTACAAACAAAGACGTGATTCAGTGAGTTGGATGGAGTTTTCACTTTTTTTCCCCCAACAAAAACTGAACTGTGAATAATGTTTTTCCACACGCATAATTTATTCACCGTAATTCATTGATCAGCGCTTTTTCAGTTAGTTACCTCGTGCCTCCCCCGTCGATGGACAGCACTCTAATGCCGTGGCCCTTGACTTGATCCGTGTAGCCAATCAGAGCCAAGGCTTCCCTCAAGGCGGCCTGAAGTCCTTGATCTCGTCTGTAGGCTCGCCGCTGTCTCAGCAATGTCACTGCAGCTTTCTCCTGAGAGCGTTGGCATTTTTCAATGTTGAATGGAGTTTGTTAAACATTTTTGAGCAAAATTGAATAGATTTCCACCACACCTGCCAGATTAACGCTTTGCATGATGGGTAGCGTATGAGATGTTCGTTGAGCGCCTCGACGCAGGAAGTCGTAGCCTCTAAAGTTGAAGCCAGTCCCAGGCTGATGATCAATCTATGGGTTTCCTCCTCTGCCTGCCTGTGACTCAAGACGAGCTGAAAACACCACCAGACCACAAATTTTGTCAAAAGTAGCATTCTAACTCACATTATATCAATGATGTATTAGTGAAATATGATCACAACTCACCCTTTTATTTAATATCGTGTGCAGTGAGGTCACGTTGTTTGGTTTTGTAGTCTGGGACAACGGGCCCATTTTTAGAAAAGACCCCAGCAGACCTGGAATGGCACTTGTAGGATCGCGAAGTACGTCCATGAAAGATTTGGTCTTCTCAGGAGGATTTGAGGTTTTGGCGTCCATCTTTGGACTGTCAATGTCAACGTCCTGTCGACTTACACTTTTGAAGTACTGATTAATATGACCGGAAGTCTGAAAATAGTTTTCTCCAAAGTTGGTGGTGTTTGAGCTGCTGTGGAAAAGGCCGTCACTTTTGGGATTGATCAGTTCTTGCCCTTGCTGTGACCCTGTACCACGGGTTTGTGCGATAGATGGAGTTGGGAAGTTCTTCTTATTGTTTGTCTTTTCACCTGGAATTTCTTCTCTCCTGTTTTTTGGTTCGTCTGTAACTTTAGCACCAAAGTATTTATTGATGTGTCTTGCAAAATGAAGGTATCCCTCCTCCCAGCTGCTGGAGACATTGCTGTGTTTCCCTGTTGTCTGCACACCGCTGAATTTGACCTCAGATGACTCGATCGGGTTTTGCATTTTTTTCCTCCTCTGCTTCCTATTTGTACGTCTGGTGGAAGAGGCGGTTTCAAAAGTTTCCTGCTTTTGAACTTTTTCATAGTGCTGGGAGAACACCAAGTTGATGTGATGAGCCAAATAACTGTAGCTTTCGCCAAATCTTGTCGTCAAGGAGCTGATGTGAAATAGCTGTGGTCCAGGCCTTTCCGGGACGGAATTGCCTTTATCTGAGTTTTCCTGTTTGCCACTGCTTTTCAAGGACGGCTTTATTCCCTTGCTTTCAGATATAATTTGATCTGTGGCTGTCCTTTGACTATGCCTGCGCCTGGGCGGCTGGACTAGACCCTCAGGAGCAGCGACAATAAAGCTGGTATTTTCAGTGAATGCCACAACATCTTTTCTCTTGAAATAAACATTAATGTGTCTGGACAGCCGATTGAATGACCGGCCGAGACGCCCTCCCAGTGAACTCAAATGAAAACTGTTCAGGGCCTCATCAAAAATCCCAACGGGAGCTTCTGCTTTGAAAGCGTCCCTATCAGAAGATGAATAAAAGCGCACGGTGTGGAGGTGTCTTGCTTCTTTGGCAAAGTCTCTTAAGAAGCGGGAAGAGGAAAAGCTTGTATCGCTTCGGCTTAGATTTTTTAAAGCACATTCAAATCTCAAAAGTTGGGGGGATGGCAGCTGTGAATGCGTGTTGGAGTGCAAGCAGAGTGGCTCCCTGGCCAAAGAATGACCTCTTGTAATAAGTCTCATTGCAAATCTAATCCTGCTGTAGGATTTCAAAGTCCTTTTTACTGAGGTGGAACATATGGTGGAGCTAAGGTAGCGACCCATATTTGGGCAGATGTGGTGAGCAGACCTTAGACTGATTGCAGTGATTCAGGTTGCATATTCAGCAAGAACCTATGAACATACACACGCAACACAAACACACACACAAAGAAATAATTATTAGGAAAAGATGCAAATTCGAGCAGTATATGTGAGATAATACCTACTTTTTTCAAGACAGAAATGTAGAGTTAACGGACAGGAAATGACTGACATTTTCCTTTATTCTGTGTCTGTTTTAGATAAAAGTATCACTGATGAATCAGTGGATCAGCAGATGCAATTCTTCCCTAAGTCCGAATCCAGTTAACAGGCTGAGCAGAGCAACAAATGCTGATTATTTACCACCGAAATCATACCACAATGTTGCTCTATATTGCAAAATCGACTCGTTTCAAAACTTTGTCTCTGCAACACATCTGTTCAGAGCTCAGGCGCACTGTTAGTGCTATAAACAAACCACAGCGTGCTTGTGGTGTCGGCTGATCAGAGTATGTAAACACATCACTTTCCTCAATAGCGTGTACCATAGCACTGTGTGCCAGATTTGTACAAATGCACATCAACATGTACTTAAACTGTAAACCAGAATGAGGATTTTAATTAATATCACTGATATAGTTATAATACTTGCATATTATTGTTAAAAAAAAGTCTTTTACTTTTACTTTATACTAAGCAATGGTAATTCACCAAAATCATTTCACAATTATTTATCTTTCTGTTATTATTTCATTAGATTTCTATAGATCATGTTCAACAGCATAAACAACTTTGACCTTGGTCATTCCTGTTCCTGTCCCAAAGGCAGGCAGCTTTGCAGTATGTCTGACAGTAGTGGGATAAACTCATCATCCAAAGTAGTGTAAACTCCCTCAAACCCTAAAGCACACACAAAAGATTTACCTAAAACATGACATGTGTTCCTCCGTCTTCACGCGTCCTCCTCCAGAAATTTTCTGGTCCCTGAAATCAAGGGCAACACATTGGACAGACTCTCAGGGGTATTATTTTTAATGTTTACATGTGACACCCACATTCAGGGCTTTGATCATATGGCCAGATCTGGAGGCGGGAGTGTGTGAGGTGGGGCGGAGGTATTCCTCTTGGCCAATGAACGTAAAGAACACACAGGTCTAATGTCATGCACGGGTACTACTGATAGCCACAAGGCTAAAATTAGTGAGGGGGGCTGCCTGTGAGCTGATGTTGGGTTGTGCGTCATAGCACACCTCGCACACAAACACATGCCTCCCAAACAAGAGCGACGGGCTTTAACACATTTTACCGGAAGTTCAGTTCTTGGAAACTGTGTCCAAGCAATCATGAGGCAGAGGAAAAATAAGAAGAGGCACAAGTCTGAGGTGGTTGTGGTAATCGTATAGTGAAAATCTGACATTGTGAACCCGTTGTCACACCATTTATACAGCAAAAAGAATGTGAATAAGCCACCGCATTCACGGTCCAAGCCAGTTTGAAATCAATGTTGAAATACAAAAAAAACACCAGGTCTTGACATAATCTAGACAACCCAGGTGGAATAAGCGCTCTGCACAAAAAGTATGGAAAGCGATATGAGTCAGTTTAGTGCTGTGTAGCAGAATGTGTTGTGTAAACATTGCCATCCTTTAGAAATGACTCGCGTAACCTTTGACCGGCACATTGTGTTCTGCACCACAATGCGCTGCTGCTGGAACACGCTCAGAGGATGCGCGTGTCAAATTAGATGCCAGTGTGTGTTTACATCTGTCGCCACACACACATACACATGATTTAAAACTGTATTTAGCATAAAGGCAACTACGAAAATGCACGTTACTCATTTTTTCTATTCAATTAAAATTTAAGAAATAAAAAAACTGTCTCCTGAACTTTCTCCTGCTTGCCACGTCAAGAAAAGGCAGCGTCAGTGACCTGATCAATCACAGCACACACTTCACACAATTCCTGAGAAACAATTTGTCTCCTCCTGGCGCTATTATTTTTGATGCACAATGACATCTAGTGGCAGCTCCCTGACAGTCTGGTTATTTATCTGCTTTTGAGAGAAACACAGTCCGAGACAAGTGTGCGTAGCAGGAAATTGGCTGCATTTTGCTTCAGTGATTTTCTGTCTTATCTTTGCACAATATATTTGTCAAAATACAACAGTCATTAATCCAGCGCGCATTTTCTCTGTGCCGCTTGCAGTCGAGTTAGTCTGAGCCGCCACCTTTTCCTGGATTTTTTCTTCACCCCCCTACTGTTTGTCGTCTTTCATCGCTTTTTGTTAAAGCTCACATCAGGGCAGGCCGCCCATCAGACTGAATTATAGACGTAAAAATCCAGAGCAACTGGCGCTGTCAGTTCAGTATGTTTCTTTGGATTACAAATGAGTGCCTTATATTGAGCACTTTTTTTTTTCCATCTTCATCTTTCAGCCCATTTTCATTGATACCGACAGTTTTAAAAATCCCAAATAAATCATGACTTTAACCCTGACATTTAGTTAAAAATGAAGAAAGTCAAGTCAGGGTAATAGATTTATAATAAAGAAACACTTTACATCTTTACATCACTTCAATCATATCTTGCTGATAACTCCTCCAGCTAAATAAGTTCAACTAATGAGTTTGTGACCAATCAGTGGTGATACAAGCACAACTGATTGGTATCTGTGTAGTTCTTCATGGTTAAATATCTTTATAAACATTGGGTCCGTTTCCTCTAACCGAAAGTCACTCCATCTTCTTTTCACACCGTCCTGTGGTACACTCCTCACCACGGCCCGTCCACTTAAGGCGGTTCTTGGCAAAGATGGCGTAGGATTTGTCCATGAACGGCCTCACGGGCGCCCACATCATGAAGCGTCCCAACCAGCCGAGACCTACTGCTCCATACATGACGGCAAAGGCTGGAACGCCGCGGTGAACCTACCGACACACACAAATCAAGCTGGATCAGACTGGGTTTGGGATGCTTTACACATGAACAATGAGGCTTGTCAACGTGGAAGGAGAGCTCACCTCGTCCTTGTCATCGATCACATGCATTTCGTCCATGGCCATCTCGTAGCTGACATCCTTGTACTGTGCACCGTCGTAGCCTGGCTTCGAGATATCAACGAAATGCACCACTCCAGACCGGTTCTTCTGCAGAAACTGCATAAAGCGGATCTCTGTCACACAGATGGGACACAGCCCGTCATACAGCACCTAAACCAGGGCGGAAACAGACGACAAGAGCAAGGCTTTTCCGTTATTTTGCATATTCTGCACACTATGGCAAAGCCCAAGGGTTTAGCAGGTGTCTGTGTTGTTGCCTGTCTGGTGACCTGTGAATGGATCAATTCAGCCCATCAGTCTAATAAAACTTTTGTTTCCACACGAGAACAAAATGTGAGTGCTCACACAGATGGGTGCTAATGAATTGGGTTGTTTTGTCAATGCCATCACAAGGTGGTCTGTGCTGACCAGTCTGATCACAGCCGTTTCTCTGTTCATAGTGCTGCAACCAATATCAAATACCTCTTATAATATCGGATTTTCCTGACCTGACCACCTCTTTTTCCATTTAAGAGTTGCGGTTACTTCTGCACAAAGGGCCACCTTACTTCCATTAGGTGTATTCTGTCTTTAACCTGTCACAGTGTTGGACACAAAGTGAAATCAGAGACGTGGTCAGCTCACCCTGACACCTGCGGACTCGGTGCTGAGGGTCCGGTGCTGGTGTTTGCAGAACACGGGTGGGAGTAGTCTCGCCGTCCTTGCATGTAAACCACCGGGAAAACGAACCAAACCTCTGGCCAAGCTTTCGCTCACTTTAGAAAACATATCTACGTCTAACTGCGTGCGTCGCAGACAGTGTCACTTTGGCGAGACAAACACAGCCTTATGTTACGAAAATCTCTTTCAAGTTACACAAACAAGACATGACCGTGGTAGTGTGTCTTGTTCGCGTTCATTAGGTGGTTGGGCCACAGCGTAGCAGCACAACAGCGCCACCATCTGGACCGGAGGGTTCCGTCTGTTTAAGGTACATTTTCTGAGAATGTGTGGATTATTTTTGGTTTCCATGGAAAGAATACAAATTTAGACAGAACATTGGAAATGATCATATTATATACATTTTATATTTACAAATCTTCACCCTGTTTTTTTTCAGTTTCTGTGAAGGAAAGCAAACTAGTTTCCACTATTTCCAAGAATACACACAAACAAGCTGTAAAAACCTTTAAATGTTAGATCATTGAATTTTTATATATCGAACATACAAACATACATGAACATATTTCATATTCTGTGTTTTGTTCTTTGTTTTTCCCCTTTACGTTGATTTTTTTTTTTATTGTCTTTAAAGATTGTTAATAAAAAATACCTGCCATTCATGTGAAGTAGTTTTATTTACATTTATAAAAAACTTAAACCTACTTACTTTACAGTATTAGTAAAAAAAAACATTTGTTTAATGCTAAATCAGACAATCATACTATGGGAAGTTGCAGCACAAATATAGATTCACTCTTATTTCTTCAACCATGTGCAGAGGCCTTATTGAGGTGATCAGATTAATAATGTGTAGCAGACAAAAAATAAAATTAGAAGAAAAAAAGCATTTTCCTTCTAGTCTCTGGTCTGTCCCTGTTCGAATAAGTCTTATCTGAGCAGAACAGACAAAGTTTAAACTGTAACATTCAAAGTGTGAGGCAGGCTCTTTGCATTACTTGGGGAAAAAGAAAAAAGAAAAAGCAACAACTCGGAATCCTGTCAGTGACCGCCTCTGAACCGCTCATTGCTGCACGTGTTTTTGAGATCAAAGACCGTGCAGTTGGCCGTTTAGAGGGACGCAGCCAAAGTCTGTCACAGACCGGTCACTACAAGGATCCCGCAGAGGTGAGCTCCCGTCACACATAGGGCAGTATGTCGGTGTAAATAGTGTCAGTATTAGCATTCCTTTGAAATTATGCCCTTGTTTATTCTCTGTTAACTTCTCCACCTAGTGCCGCTTCCCAGTCCGTGACTTGATCATGCCCCCTGCCGCAGGAACCAATCTAGGCTACAAGCCCCCGGATGGGGGCTGGGGCTGGGCTGTCGTCCTGGCTGCTTTCATCTCCATAGGATTCTCTTACGCCTTTCCCAAGTCCCTAACCATCTATTTCAAGGAGATTCAAGAATATTTTTCAGTTTCCTACAGTGAGATTGCCTGGTTGTCCTCAGTCATGCTGGCTTCCATGTATGCAGGAGGTCAGTCTCAGCCATGGGCTGCTTTTGCATGAGAAATTCTCCTCAAATTCTCAAACGTTACACAGGAGGATTTCAGCAACTCTTGTGCAACTTTTGTTGTTCTTTAAAGGAGAGCTAACATTGATAAGTTAATGTTTATATGCATATACATACTGTATGTGTGTGTGTGTGTGTTTTTCCTCTATGCAGGTCCTATAAGTAGTGTACTTGTCAACCGTTATGGCAGCAGACCGGTAGTCATGGCTGGTGGGATTATGGTGAGCACTGCCATGGTGCTTGCTTCATTTGGCACAACTATCATTCATCTGTATCTCTGTGTTGGAGTGATCGGAGGTAAAGTATTTTTTCTTATTCCAGGTGTAATCTTATAATGGGGCACCTGTGGCTCAGGAGGACATTTCCTATGTTCCATGTCGAAGAGTCCTTGGGCAAGGCTCTGAACCCCAGGTTGCCTACTGGTTGCATCTGGTGTGACTACTGGTCCAACCGGTGTGTGAATGTGTGTGTGAAAGGTGAATGTCGTGTAGTGTAAAACGTTTTGAGTAGTCAGTTTGACTGGAAAAGTGCAATATATTTATCAGTTAGATTCATTGAGACACTCCTAAAGTTCTTTCATGCATGTCAGATATTTTAGATCTTTTCCTGTTGGGCTGCTGCTGTTGTTTTCATGTTTCGTTTTAATGTTTGCCTTGAGCTACCTGGTTATGACTGGCTGACACTGGAGGTTGCAGTGGTTGAGTCAGGAGTCTCATTCATGCTTTTTGTTTGTTTTTTCTATGCTTTGTTGATCTTGTCTGAGTCCAATGTTGGTCATTCAAAGCGCTATGTAAAAATGTGACAAAACACTCCAGTTATTATATGTGGTTAAAATTGATATTGTGTTCTGAAAAATCCACACAAGAATGAGAGCAAACAAGCCTTTTAGACCTTAAACTTAATCCTAATAAGAAACGTATCAGTTTGGCATTACAAAAAGTCAGTCACATAGCAACAGCAACCCCCCTGCAGCAGTGGCCTCTCCCAGCAGGACAGAAAAACAGCAGAAAACTGCCTGGGAGGGACTTAAAGAGCACAAAAAGAGCCTGAAATGTTGCACTGGCTTTCAAACTCCCCACATACCAATCTGACGTGTTGCTTGAGTCAGATCTCAAAGCACATACAGTTCTATATTGGGTTGCTACATTATCACATTGAACCGAGAATTCAGGGAATGCTTCAGTTTCAAAATTAAACTGACAGAAAGGCTTGACAATGATCAGTAAGAAAAGGCAGGAGTTACAAAAGTTTCTTTAATGTGTAGCAGGCATCATGAGACTAAAGCAGCGTGGTAATATTAAGAACCTCTCTAGTCCCATGTTGTGCCAGAGGAGGGCTGTACGGAAACTCCTTCCTCCATATGTTATCAAGAGCACTTATTATGGCAAATTTGCCCTCAGAATTTATACCGTCTACCACATATAACACAAGGAAAACCATTCAGTCACGGAGTGTACTTTTTTTTATTTCAACAGGCTTTGGTCTTGCCTTCAACCTGCAGCCAGCCCTGACAATTATAGGCACTTACTTCCAGGTCAGAAGGCCACTGGCAAACGGACTCGCAATGACGGGCAGCCCAGTTGTCCTGTTCACCCTGGCCCCTCTCAATCAATTCCTCTTTGATTCCTTCGGCTGGAGAGGGAGTTTCCTCATCCTGGGATCTATTGTTTTGAACTGCTGTGTGGCCGGTGCTCTGATGAGGCCAGTCAATAAACTTGCTCACCCCGAGCCCATCAAGGACTCACTAAAGTGTAACGGCGGAGCCTCTGAGGACGCTGCTGCTGATGACACCGGCACACAGCCGGATAATCCTCCTCCTGAGGAGTGTCAAAATGAAAGCAAAGGTCAGAGCCAGGTCTCCAGATTCATAGACCTCTCTCTCTTCAGGCACAGGGGCTTTCTCATTTATCTCATTGGCAATGTGGTCATGTTTTTTGGCTTTTTTGCACCAGTGGTTTTCCTGGCCCCTTATGCAAAACACCAAGGGACGGATGAGTATTCAGCAGCCTTCTTGCTTTCTATCTTTGCTCTGGTGGACATGTTTATCAGACCTCTAACTGGCCTGATCGGCAACCACAAGCTGATTAGGCCAAGAATACAATATTTTTTCAGTTTTGCTGTTTCATACAACGGTATATGTCACTTGCTGTGTCCACTGGCATCCGGATATGAGGGTCTGGTTGTGTATGCTGTCTTCTTTGGTTCGGCATTTGGAATGCTTTCAGCACTGCTTTTTGAAGTTCTGATGGACCTAGTTGGAGCTCATCGATTCTCCAGCGCAGTTGGACTAGTCACCATTATAGAGTGTGGGCCAGTGCTTCTTGGACCTCCTATTTCAGGTTGGTTAAAGTTATGGAAGAAATTGTATTCATGTCTGTTGTGTGCAAAAACATTTATATAGTGATTTCTATAATGGCGACCAATGAGTGTTTGATTTCTCTTTCAGGGGCTTTAGTTGATATTTTTGGGGACTACAAATACATGTACTACGCATGTGGTGTTTTAATGTTGGTGCCTGGCATATTTTTCTTCATCATGCATTATTTCAACTACAAGAAGCTGGAAGAGGAGCGCCTGCAGAGTGCAACTGGGGAGATTGGAACTCTGACAGAGGGAGTACAATTTCACATGAACCAGCATGATAAAACAGCGAATGAGACAAATGGATGAAAAAAGACAACTCACAAAGTTTGAATGAAATGAGTGCTTTCTTTTTTAGAATTCTTGTACCCTTAAATCTTAATGTCTATTTTTGTTATTCTATGTTATCCCTGTTTTATCCCTGTCTAAGGAGACTAAATGTGAATTCAATGGAATATGCACTTGAACCATCTAAACATGCTCAGAGCTTTTGTAATGTTTTCTTGATATGTTTGGGTTTTATTCAGCTTCTTTAAAGCAAGACACAAACAAAATCAGTCAAATCCAGAGAGAGAAATGGAAAGCAGTTCATCAAATATCCTCAAAACAACGCCAGGCCACTTATTAGCATCACCTTCTAACCACTAGATGGCATTGAATCCTATCCAAATTTTGCTCCCCCAATTCCATCATTCCACAAATAAATGAAATCTCGAGGTTGGAGATGGAAAATACCTTCTTTTTTAATGTTCTAGACTGCCCAAAAATACTTTTTTTTTGTGTCATGAGGATCACTAAAGATTGCTTCACCGCTGCACGGCTTTATCAAAGCCATAAAAATTCAGTATGAGGATATGAAATTCCTTTCAGATTTGAAACTGAAGTAAGAGCAGAAACCTCTATGTGCATTCAATAACAAGTCCTCATTTGCATGTGAGGCTGAATAGTTTAAATGCTTAATAACGTTTTAGGTTCTGCACACATCACAGACTTATCACTGCAGCAGGCCTGACCTCTGGATATTCTAGTATTTCAAAAGCGTTTTAGTGGTTTTTCTATCATTTATGGGATATTAATGTAGTAAACTTCTCTTATGTGGACTGTAAAGAAGCCAGATTTCTAACTGATGTACTACACCACAGAGGAAGTACTTGGCAATACTTTTGTGATCTTAAGCCAGAGCACACCCTCTCCTCTGCATGGATGCACACTCTCTGTAATCATTCCCAGCAGTTGCAATAAAAGATTCACGGATGAACCATTCCAAAACAGACTAACGTTATCTTTACAGATATGTGCTTAAATGGCTCATTCTTATCATGTCCCTGCTAGGTTAATATTGACTTACATTTCTGATAGATGAAAATAGCTCATTTGCAGAAATCAATAAGTTTATTCACATGCTCAGATTGCATTGTAAGCCTCTTTCTCATGGTGGATGACTAATCCAGTGCCACTGAGCTGCTTTTGAAGTCAGTTCAGTTAATTGTATGTAGACATTTGTGCAAAACTATTTTTCAATAATGAAATATTGAAAAATAACTTGTTTACATACACAATTCCTAATGTTTTCATTCAAGTTTAGTTTTATTTGTCTTATTTTTTCTAGTATTATACAAGATACTGGTAACTTGGTGGAGAAAATATTGAAGACTATTTTGGACACTCAGTGGTTAAGGTGACACTGGCTTACATCAATATTCCCATATGTAAACATTTAGCACATTATAAAACAAAGAGTCCCTGAACTGCTGAGCATCAGAAGTCTTTGTAAGAACATAAGCACTTTTAGCTTTTAAAGCTCAAGGGTCTCAAGGGTCATGAAAAGAAAAAATGCGATCCAATACAAATGCAGGTCCCGGACATTCTTGAAGCATAAAAATATTCTTCCAAAAACATTCTTTGTCAATGTTTCAATTAAATACAGGTTTTCAGTTTGGTTATATTCTTACCCAACATATTAACAGTTAGAATATGCTTGCAGTAACATACATTGTACAAGGATAAAGTATCATCATTCACTAAAGAAACTGTATAAGTTTGTATATCTTTGCTTTGCCACAGATTCAAAATTTCATATGAAGTTCATAAATGGCTGTCTTAGTAAAACAAAAAGGAAGAGTGAAAACCTGCATATGCTTTAACTTTATTTTTCTGAAATATATAAAACATTCCCTAAAAAAGGATGCATTTCTCTCAGACTCGACTGATGATGCCTTTCTACATGTAATTAGTATGGAAAGCAATATCTTCATTTCTAGAGATCAAATTTAAATTTGTCTTACCACAGAACTTTTCCACTCTACCTCAGTCTATTCAGAATGACCTTTGGCCCAGAGGAGAATGTGGCATTTCCGGATCATGCTCACAAATGGCATCTTATTTGCATGATGGAGCTTTAACCTGCAGTTGTGAATGGTGCAGTGAACTCTGTTCACAGGCAGTGATTTCTGGAAGTGTTCCTGAGTTGATGCTTGGATTTCCATGAAAGAACCATATCTATTTTTAAGGCAGCGCTGCCTGAGCTTTGCCAAGTTGATTTTCGGTCATTCACTTGCATCTTCAGATGACTCAGTGACAGATATCGTGCACAGATGTCTCAGAATCTTTAGATGATTTAGTAGAAAATGGAATATTGACTGAGTGTAATTTCACGTGGAGGAATATTCTTCTTAAAAACATCAAAGTCAACAAATCATTCACATCTAACTGAACGTCATACGGAAAAAAAAAACATGAAATGGTAAATGAACTCTCTTTCAACATTTGAGATGTTCTATTTATCCATTTTGTATATCTACATTTTCCAACTCAGGATCAACAGGAACGACTGGAACCTTTAAAAGCTGTAATCCATATTTACCCCAGTAGAGCATGACAGGATCCCACAGAGACAGGCAAGTAACAACTGTGCACACTTGTATTCTCTCCTAGGGTTCTAAGGTCAATACAGAGTCACCAATTAACCTAGTGTGCATGTGTTCGGATGGTGAGCAAATGGTCTCTGAAAAGAACCCCTGCATACTCTGGGAAAACAGGCAAGCCCAATAGTGATGTTCCAATTCCAACCAGGGACCAGTTGTCCCCGTCCCTACCCTGTGAGTACCTTCATCACTTTGTGGCTGCATTCTAAATTCAAGTGTTGATATGGTCCTGATGATGTGGCTGGTAGAGGTTAATCTCATAAAGAAGAGATATGTTCACGAGCAGACAAAGAGGGAGAGAGTGAAGACCTCCAATTAGCAGTGGTTCCCACAAGCTTTGTATCATCTCCTCTCTCAACAGCTTGAGCATAATCACCGTGATGATGTCAGTAAATCTGACCTTAATTGGAAACAGAAGATTGAATCCAGGCAGTTCTTTATCTAATCCTGGCCTTGACTGCCCCCATGCTGAGACATGCTTTTAAAAAACCCCACTGCCGGTTAAAGCAGTCACACCCTAAGTTCTGTTTTCGCCGTTCTGTCTTGTTAATTTGACATGTTTCAAATCAATCTCTGCTAATCTTCTTTATCCATGGCAGCCGAACAAATCTGTCCACACAGTGTTTAGTATCAGAGGGAGGGTGATGCCGCGTGCATACAAGACAGTTTCCAACATCCGTGGAAGGGGCTATTAACAACATATCACTGGATGAAAAGAAACACGGATAGCCTAAAAATCGACCACAGCACATGATGACATGTTCTAGGAATCTGAACGGAGCCCTCACAGATTCAATCATTTCCTGCCCAGACAACAGACACCATATGCTCATTATGTCCAACATCCCAGATAGAACACAGGATACACTGAGTTGATCACTTGGTTAAAAACAAAGCAACGACTGCTTTCAAAATCCACATCTTTACAAAGAGCTACTGTTACACTGCTACTGCCATAAGGATCATGGTCACCTTGATATTTATGTGGAGCAAAACAACCTAGTTTTTCACTGAAAAGTTTGAAAAGGTGCCTTTTCTTCAACACTCTCAGGCAGAATGGTAGGAAGGAAAAAATAGGGGGAGTCTGGGTTTTACTTCACCCTTAAAATCCCCAGAGGGCAGCCTGCATCAGATGAAAGTAGTCAGCTCCACAAAAACACTCAGAGAGCTGATTGTAGTTGTTCATCTTGAAGGAACTATGAGCAGACGTACATAGGGGAGGTGTTTATCGCAACATTGGAAAACATCCGACTGCATGTACTCATGAATTGCACGCAGGTGAAATTTGTACGTCATTTGAGTGTGTTTGGAATAATGACACATTTCATGTTTGTCCTGTTCTGCCTCATCAGCTGAAAGGATGTTTAGTTTAAATTTAGAACTGAGAGCACCCAATATACACTGGGAAGTTTGAATACCGAGGACTGTCTATGTGTGGATATTGTTTGTTCGCTATAGGGGTATAAAAAACAACAAAAGCAAATGGAGAGTCAATATAAAAATAATAAACACATAGGGGTAAAAATAGATTTTTTAGAAATGTATCCACACTATCCTCAAGGGAGAGAACATGACTTCAAAGGCACATTTTCCTTTAGTTTTGAGTCTGGAACAAGGATCAACCAGTACTCCCTGATCTGAAGACAACACAGATTCTCCTGACAGCAGAGCCATAAATCAGTAAAATAGGCTTGTGCTGACCATGCAGTGCTGCAGAAAGAGTCACAAGTATCTTAAAATGTACTTGACTGGAACTTGCCAAGACAAGCACAGATGTAATCAAAGCAGATTGGAGAAAAATGGAAACAAGAATTTTGTTTTCATTTCTGACACAATTGGTTTGACATTAGCTGTGGCCCTTGATGGAGCAATCATGATTACATGAAACCTACTTCATTGTTTCTGCCTGGTCAGTAGCGGCACTGGGTTTTTGATAACACATGAGTGAGGGAAGTTGAGGTTTATGGATGCTGCCTGTATTTTTAACGAACTGAGCTGTACAAATGATCTGCCATCCCATTTGGAATTGGAATGATAGCAATTGGAATGAAGAAAACATGTAATAATAAGAAAAAAAAAAACATGCAAAACTAAAAAAACTATCATCAAGATCTTTAGAACATATTTACTATGTAATCAAGGAAAAAACTTTCTGGTACACCACTCAGCCTCGGAAGAATCCTGGACTCTGGTTACTAACGGCAACAGGAAAATGTTGTTCCAGATATGGGAGCAGAACCATTTCAGACCTGACCCAGATAGACTCATAGACTTCCCGAGTCTGTCAGGTTAAGGGTATTGTGTCTCACATCATCCAATGCTCACTGAGACCAAACCAGCCTAGTCGCCATGGCATTAGATGCTCTTTGTGCTGCCAAAGTTGTGTAATTTTGAGTAATTAAACTTAACTAAACAGGGTTTCAGAACAAAGCATAAATAAAAGAACACAAGGGTCTCAAATAAAACTCATCAGAAACTAAAATCACTGTGTCACAGCACCGTGTTCCATGGGAAAAGAAACATGTAATGAGTATAATGCATCCTGATGTTACAAAGAGTCCAGAATTGTAAATGACCACTCATTATTCTGCTGTCTGGTTGACCAAGCAGTGATAGACAGCGCACCCTATTATGTCTGACCATTGTGATTTTGGGTCGTCATAAGTGTGGTTTTAATACATTTGTGTGAATTTTAAAGTGAATAAGGTAATGTGACAGAGGTCTATTATTGTAATGAAACTACAGTACCAACAATTATGAGCTGATATTTCAGACATTTTCATTACAGTCTTCTCTATCTCAGTTTTCTGCGATCCAGATAGATTTTTTGTTATTGTTATTATGAACACAGTTTTGGTTCCAATATGTTGCCATGGGGAGCTCCCCTTCATTCTATTTTTTTTTAGCTCTTTCAGACTCTAAATTTCAGACTCTTTATCAAATAAAAGCTGTAATATTTTAATCAGATAAGCACTGTTTGAGCTATTCTTTCTGCCCAAAGTAGGTTGGGATGTTGTTTAGTTTTCCCTCTTAAGGGCATTTACCACAGAGACCAAAAATAGTGTTTCGTGAAGCAATAAGAGTGCACGAAGCATGAAAGATGCAGAAAAGGCAGCAAAACAATGAGCTGGAACTTGCAACTTGCAATAAAGGCCTATTAGCTGAGAGGAGCTACTGAATGAGAAGATAATTCTGTGGGTTTGATACTGTAAATTACCCTATCTCCTTGTCACCATGTTTTTATAGTAGCATTTGGTACATGATGACAATGTGAGAACCGCTGATGTGTCCAGTTTTCCAGTAAATATAAATATCTGTTAAACAAAAAACTAATACAATGTTGGAAGAAATTAAACTCTGAAATTTCCCTTTGACCTGCTGAGCTGTTAATGCTCCTGAACATTAGGTTTCCTAACGGAATACTTACTGGACACAACACAGCTCTCACGAAGATGGACATTCATTTTTTATTATAATTGAGACAAAAGACGAACTTAAACCCCTAAACTACTCAATCATAACTAATGCTTGTAAAAGAAATTGAGTCGCAAAGCAAAAGGACTTAATGAGATTATAGTACCC